CCTGCATTAGAGTTTTCTAATGATACTGCCAACTGTGGCCAAAACATAGAACGGCAGCTCTCTTCTGCTCGTTCTCAGGAGTTGTATTCGTACTTAACAAGTTTTTTCTTTGTTTACTTTTTTCACCTAAAGTAACATGGAGTTTCCATTGCTGTCTGAGTTGAATTGGATGCCAGTCACTTCTTATTATCCTCAAAATCCATCCTGAATATAACTCTTCAGTTGTTTGCTAGGTTGGACCCACCCAACATGTATATGCTTGACCTCACATTCAAAGGAATGGTGCAGAAACTCAATCCAACCAATCCAAAGTTAATTCAGGAACATAGGCTATAGGCTTTTGGATGCGTCTGTGCAGAAATATTGAGGTGTCAGTCTGCTCATCAAATGATCTTTCCGTCATAAACGGTCAGATTAAAAGGCTCTTTTAGAGATACTTTTTCTGTAAAAACTTACATAATGTCTCTTTAAGATTTAGGATGTAATAATGCCTAGATGGAGAATGGATGTCCTACTAAAGTCACAGTATGATTGATGGTCAGAGAAAGTGCAAATATGGAAGAACTTCATCTCAAAAATAAAAAAAAAACCTTAGTCCGAATGCTGAATGTAACATTTAATAAAATATTTAGAAAATTCCTAGAGCTAGGCTCGCATGCATTGAAGTTTGCATGCGAACCACAGGGAAAATGCAACAGTGTTATTTAAGTTGTTGATACCAAAAACAAGATTCATGGCTGTAACACCAAGTGTCATTTACAACTGTGGTTGAGCGGCCCTCAGGCCCTTGTACTTAAGAGATCAATCAGTTAACTATTATTGAGCACTTTTCACAGCCAAAGTGACCAAAGTGCAGTAAATGTCTACAAATTAAAAGAAAGCAAAACATCACAACATCAAAAATTTAACGTTAGAACAACATGAAAAAGAAGTAAGTATCGGAAAATAAAAGTTTAACAGTTGAGATATTTTTGCTCAACTGGGATGAGAATCCAGTTTAAATGGATCCATTTTTAAAAATGTCTTAAAATCAATCAGTCAGTCAGTCAAAGTTCTGACCACAAACCTGTCCTCAGAACATTCTCGTACAAAAGCTCTATAAGATAAAGAGGCACCAAACCATTGAAATAGTTGAATGACGCTGTCCCCCGTAGACTTTGCATGTAAATCAGACACTCTGATGCCCATAATGCGTTCTGTCCGAACACACCATTAGAGTTCTCAGTATTTCTGGCAAAGAAGGAGTCTAAAGGATGTTTTATTTTCTGCTTAAATGGCCTCAATTTATGACTGATTGATCAGGCTAAAGCTAAAAAAAAGTCTTTTACTAATAAGCGATCATGTCATACTGTACCTACCACACTTCACTGTCAATAACATTCTTTGCTCTTACTGCTTCGAGAATACAAAATAAAAAGTGAGACTTTCAACAGATACCAGGAAGGATGAACAAATAAAGCAATTATTCTCAGTTTGTCCTTCCAATTCATGTAACATACTGATTTTCTTTTCATTCATCCCAGTAATTCACTGAACATGCTAGATTATGACATTTACAACCATTTTATAAATCTTTGAAAGTTTAAGTAAGAATTTCTGAAATTCGCTAATAGGCAGCCTTGTTCTAATGTACACTGCGCTAAATTTTCAATTTCCTTATACAAAATGCTGAATAAACTTTTAAGTCATTTTAAGTTTGTTTAAAATAATAGAACCCTGTTTTACAGCAGTTACTTTGCTACGTTTGCAGTGTGTCTCTGTTCCTAATGTAAATGGTAAGTGACCACTCTCAGCATAAAGATAGAACCGTGAAAATGTAAAAAGATATTAAAAGATAAATCTATGCTGGCAGTTTAAACTCAAAGCCAGTCCAGAAATAGAGCATAAAATTCTGATTAGCACATTTTTTGCTTCACATTTTACTGATATACCTCGTTATCCATAAAATCTGTTTAACATTTCCTGATTAACTGATAGCCAGGTAGTGGCAGAGAAGGGGCCAATACGGACATAAATCATGTGATGCCTCATTTATATAATTTTTACACGTTAGTCAAATTAATCATCTGACAGGATCCATCTGCTGGTTGTGAGCACAACAACTCTGCCCACTGTGATGACTGATGCTGTGGCTTAATGAGGATCTTTTTATTTACAGATTATCGCCTCAATCTTGGGTGCTCTTCTATAACTGTAATAGCTCAGCTAGTATTTCAGATCCGAGGTAGAGATGCGTCTGATTTGAAACAGATTGAAAGCAGGATCTTGATTCTGAAGCTCTATGACCTATAGCCACTGTCATTTATATATCTTTAATTAACAAATGCATTGAACAAACATAGCTTTTTATTCGGTATCCAGTCCATAGCTTAAGTGGCTTTCTCTTTTCTTAGGGTTTCAGTACACTAAGTATGGGTGCAGAAAGAAAGGAGACACAAAGATGGTTCATCGAGGTTACTGCGAAACAAACAAGAAGCCAAAACCAATCCGCAGAATGTGCAACCTTCAGGACTGCTCTCAGCCTCGGTGAGTAACAGACCTTTGATTTTGTTTTTCTCCTACAGCCTATAGAGTCATAAAGGACACAAATAATAAAATCCAGGTGGCTGCAGATAAAACTATTAAATGACTCACAATTTCTCTCTAAGATTGAGAGGGGAGTTAAAATCAAAACATTTTGTCCTCAATTATCCCTTTTATGTCTGTACACCCATTGGTTATAAGTTAAGTTCTGCTTCTTATTCCTGCACCACATTAGTAGAGCTAATGTTTTTTTTTACAACCCTGAAGAATAAGTGCCACTGAAAGGACACAATCTCTTTTTTACTTTAGAATTTCTATTTCAGGATATTAAAAGTCCATATAGAACAACTTTTGGTACATGTTTGGCACAGCATTAAAAACAATACTTTTTTCACTTCTTTTTGAAATAGAAACAGATCAGATAACAAAAGACTATAAATTACTCCCTATGCCAGTAAGAGGCGTCCAAAGCAGCAGCATACGATCAGCATGTATAATTTTTTTGTTGGTTGATTCATCAAACATGGAAAAAATGTCATTGCACTTTGAACTCAGCTGCAAACAGCAACAAATATTTTAAATGCATTTTATATGAAGTCCAAAGCTTATAGATATATTTCCTGTAATAAAAAAAAAACATGGCAATGCTGGTTAATGCAAAAAAGGTTGTGTTTTGTAAATTAGCTTTTTTTAAACTCCCAGCATTTTCTGTCAAATTTTAAAACATATTTTAAAGGTTTTAAATCCATCCTTATTTTTGAGGTAAGAGCTTGAGAGAGTGTCTTCTAGAGTTTGCTATGGTACTCAGAGTTTTGCTTCCCACATACGTACCTGCTGTTGTTTACGAACGTTTTGCTTTTCTCTTGTCTATCTTAAAGAAATTAAGCAGTTATTATTAGAAAGGGAAATATAACCAGTCACAAAAACGGACTTTCAGTGGATTAATCAAACTGGGGTGAAAAATATTCACAGTTTGACAAGTCAGTTAGCGCTTGTTGATCCATGTGCCCCGACATTTCCTCAACCCTCCTCGCAACAGTGTTTGGGCAAAGCTGGACCATGCTGAGCACAGTTTTGGAGCCGATGAAAAGCATCTCTGCAGTGTTGGCCATTTCTTCCTTGAATAAACAGATGGCCATTTCTTCCTTGAGTAAATGGCCATCCGTAAAACATTTCTTGTTTTTGGCCAAAAGGTGATCAATATGGAAAGAAGCTTCAGTCGCTGCCTTATGTTGAGTAGTAGGTTTTGTGAAAAACAGCTAACATGGATTGGGCTCTTTGCGGGGAAACTGTCTCTGAATGTGACGTGGTTCGTGTTGTGGTGCGCTTCAGATTTCCTCTTTTAGACAGAGCAAGCATTTGGTGGCACAGCAGACAAGCACACTTGTCCTTCACCACAGTGAAAATAAATTCCTCTTCTCATTCCTCATGGAAATTATAAGTTTTTGACTTTTTTCTTGGAGCTGTCACCATGCCAGCTGACAACATCACCGTCTACATGCTATCATCTATCAGCCCTACGGCTTTAAACCTAGTGCCGTATATTGTCATTTTGCAACAGGTAATGTGCCAGCTTTATTCTATCCTTCTCGGGGTCTACAGGAAATGTTTCAAAGTTCTTCCAGCTGATCGCGATTGATGGCTTAGCGAGCACTGGTGTTGAGGATAGAGATCCTTGCTGTTGGACCATACATTTTATTTATTTATTTTATTTTCTGTTTTAAATTACTGGTTTAAACTATGGTAAACTTTTCCTGTAGACTACACCCTGATTAATTAAGTATAAACTAAATAACTTTCCCAAATTTCAAAATACGCAACAGTGTATACAATTTTGAATAGTAAGTATCCTAACGTAGCTCTGTTTATTAGATGGTTTTATGCATTTTTTAACGAATAATGTTACTTATTTAGTTTAAGGGGTCTTTTTTTCTTTTTTTTTGGTGTTTCATCCCAGGAAACCTGAATTGTGAACAGGGCTGAGTAGGAAACCACAGGTGGGTTATTAGGGCTTGCATTGTATTTTACAAGCTATTCTTGCCCTACTTTGGTGTTGAGAGCTACTGTACCAGTAGTAATTTAATCCTCTCTGTCTGTCATTGTACTTGGCACAAAGCAATAAAGTGGTTCTATTGAAGGTGGCCGGGCTCCATGATAACACCAGCTGTAGTGCTGAGACTTTTTAGGCATATGCATAATGCAATCATAAATAGATAATGATAGTGCATGGATTCTGGAAACAAATTACTCATACAATGTAATTAAAGAAAAAAAGGCATTAGAAAAATCAGCAATAACATCTTTGAAAGAATAGCTCCTGGGAAATATGTGCATTAACATAAATAGCTGATCATTTTTTTATTCTTCCTAATAGATCCATAAATTAACAATCTGAAATTAATCTTTTGTTTGTTACAGCTCATTTAACTTTACACTCTTTACAAAAAGCTAAGATTACCACACAGTCATGATTGGTTAGAACTATCTTACCTGCTTTTAATGATCCTATCACTTTGTTTTGGTCTCATATAATAAACGTAGCTTCATCCACTGCATACAGTATGGGCCTGTTTTTATAATGATTCTCATAGCCCTGTCAGAGAGCTTTCAACTTAGCCTTAAAAATCCCTCAAAGGGGTTTTACTGGTGATTCAGGTTGATGCTTTGGTATTGTTCACACTGAAAGATAATCTTCTCCTTCCGAGACACAGTGATTAAAATAAAGGCTCTTTAGATAATCTAATGAAATAATCCTGCAGTCAGGATGCAAAACATTTTGTATGTGATGTATAGGAAACCAGAACACATCTACAAAGAAAAAAAGACCAAAAAAAACATTTTATCAAGTATAGCTCCTGCTTGTGCTGCACTTGTTGCATTATTTTTTCTTTTCTTTTTTTTTGCTATAATGGTTGTTACCTGTTAGTCCACAAATTATCTCTGTTGCGTTTTGTTGTTTATATACTCTGAACTCACATTTGATCTCAAGGTTTATTGAAATTTCTAACATCTAACTAAAGTTTCTGTATGCGTTGTGTTGTGTTTATGGTGTGGCTTTTCACCACTCACTGTAGGACCAAATCTTTGATTCTCATTTTATCCTTTTATGCAATTTAAGCAAGGAGAGGAAAGGCGTTTTATCTTAATGAGGAGGTTGTGTCGAACCTTTTGCTAGGTGTGAAACTAACTGGTTGCTATGACAAACAAATAATAATGTCTATATATACTGTATGTATATTTATCTATATGCATATATCTATCTATGTGTTGTAGTGGGAAAAAAAAGTATTCAACTATTGACCCTAGTTAAATAAATGGATATAGATGGATTTCACTCAGTCGGCACTTTATTTTATCATATCTTTGCAAAGAGAGAACAGTTCATCATACAGCCCTTACTGCTCTGTATTCAGCCCAGTTCTGCCTGAGCAGCGGGTGTTTCCCCTTACTTACAACAATGGAAAGTAGTCAGAGTAGAAACAAATTACAGACATTTTGGTTAACCATAACATGTTATGAATAATCCTTGAGAAAGAATCTGGTTTGTTATGGGAAGAAGCTATGTGTGGTCTACAAATATCCTCAAGCAAAGAATTGTGTGGCCTTGCAGGTGACACAGACTGACTGAAAACTTTTATAGTGAGTTAATAGGATGAATTAATATATGAAATTTTAGAAATCAACTTTTTCTGACAACAGTGTATATGTATATATAATTAGATAAACATTATACAATTCTTTAACAGCCCTAGTGAATTAATTTAATACCTTATCTGTTTGATATTAATATTGACTCACCTGTCAGTACTTTACGCAATTGCCTGCTTGTGTAAAGCAGGTGTATTTGGCAAAATGACAAGCATAGAACAGAGAGAAAAATTTGGAGAAAACCAAACTGGAAAGAGGAGCAGCACCTCTGTCCACACAGTTCTGGGAGAAGGATACAGTGCAGTGAATGTCTAAAGACAAACTGGTCCCTATATTAGGTTGCAAAGAGGAGATTTGATGCACATTATTTGTGAGCCCCCTGCATAATAATTGATTTGGCAGAAACCTTGTAAAATGTCTTGATTGAACATTGATAGCAGTGATAGCTGATTCTGCAAAAGAAGAACATGTTTTAAAGATTTTATTCAACTTCTAGAATGTTATAATTTATTCGATTTTACAATCTGATTTCTTTCTGCTACCAGTTTGGGTCAATTTAAACCAAAAAAAATTACTGCATACTGCCTCTGCTTATTTAGCACCAAAACCACTAAATTTTAAATGTTTTGGTGTACATATTTTCTGTAAATGTTTGCCTCGTAAATAAAGGTCTAAATCATAATTGGCAAAGCTGATATAGCTGTCTGTCACAACTGTACACCAATAACACAGCAGAGATAATTTAACTATTGGCAACAATGTCTACTGTATTTTTATTCAGATCTAATGCATCCTTTGAAGAGTTTGGAATGCACAAACAGAACAGCTTAATAACTCACTTGTGTTTTCAACTTCTCATTTATAACCTAGAATCCTAGGTTATCAATGAAAATCATGATAGTAATGTTTCTTTTGCTATTGAGTCAGAGTTTTCCAGCAGGAGAGCTTTCTTTGTTTACCTCTAGTGTTATCATCTAGAATCATTGAATATAAACTAGGCTGTCATGTCTGTAAAGACAAGTCACTGTCTGCTTGTGCCTTTGAATCCTGTGGGGAAGTTGCAGGGTGTTGTGTCACATCTATACTCCCTTGTTTAATGAAGGACTTAAAGAAAAATGTTGCATTATACAGTTAAAAAATAGAAGAATAATTGTGTTTTTTGTGAGATCTCTGCTGTCTGATAAAGTCTAAATTTGTTAATGAAATTCAGACTGAACAAAAACATCCTTAGAGCAGTTAAATGATGCAATTTCCAAAAGCATTCCTGTTATTAAGCCTGGCTGCTGTTAAATATGGAGGTTAGGTCCCCCTAACTTTAATTTTGTTTTTTTTCTTTCTAAAAACAATAACTTAAC